AAAAAAAAAAAAGAACCGGGAGCACTTTGGACCAGTGTCCTGTATGTAGAAGGTCTTGATATTTGTTGAGCGATTTTTTTTAGGGCCTTGGTGGTTTTGTAAAGAATGCTGTGAGGAACGTTTTAATAAAGTCACCAACATTCCACGTGTTCCGAAAATCTTTGTGTATGGTTTGGCCCCTCCGTGGCTGCCTTCATCCTCCTGAAGACCTCTGGAGTGTTGAGCTGTACTGAGACCCCCTTCTGTAAGATGCTTCTGCGTTTACACCGGGAGGGCACCGGGCTCCCCCAGCCTGGCTCGCACCTGCAGGGCTGCACCTGCAGGGTCCTGAGGGCGGTGGGAGCGGAGATGGGACAGCCTTCTCACCGAGCTTGCTTGTTCATTCGGGAAGTCTCAGGCCTGCCTGCCCACGGGGAGAAGTCCCTCGTTTGGGTCTTACCACTATGGTATGAAATCTGGGATTTAGGAAGTATACGGATTAACAGCCTTTGGAACCAGCGCCCGGTTGTCTGAATAAATTTATTCTGTACTCTCGGGGCAGCACAGTTTCCTCGGCGTTACTTTTTGGTGTTCAGCACACCCAATTCATAATTCTCTATCCTTCATTTCCTGTAGACTTATTAGGGCTTCAAAACCAGAAGTGACACAGAAATGGGAATACTGTGGGGGACAAACAAGGGACAACCATCGAAAGCAGCTCTAGGTGTCTGGAAACCCAGCAACCTGGAAAGGTCTGGAACCCAGCAAGGAGGAGGGGGTGTCTCCACGCAGGGAATCCTCAGGTGCAGTTGATTTCGCCTCTGTGTAAAAAGGCTCAGTTGTCTGGCCACATACTAACAGCATCCTCCCGAGTCACTCTGCCAAATTAATTGTAACATTGCCTTCTTGCTTAGGTCGTTTGTAACCTAACATTGTTACAGGACAAATGTTTACAGAGTGTGGTTCCCTTTTTTTTTTTTTTTAAATCTGGTTCTTAACCGCATACTACACACAATATTTTAAATTTGCCATCTTCACTGGGAGACGCCTGTTCATTGCTCATTTTGGTAATACGTTGCTAACATAGCCAACTTATTCATTCAAATGTTTTGTTATCGCCCTATGTGTTACTTAATGTGAAATTGTGTTTTGGAAAAAATAAATCACTATGGATAGTAAGGGCAGCTTGGTGTGCTGACAATATGTCAGGCCCCGTTTGGGAGCACTGGATGCGCATTAATTCACTTGATTGTCCCCAGCCTTGACCCCTGTGCCCCTGTCCAACCTGGCCTCCAGTCCCGGAAACAGGGCTCAGTATACAACATATAAAAAGCGTTGTAATTCAGACCTTTGCCCTGAGTTTAACCTCTCCCACTTCCCCATGTGTACCTGATGCTGTTAGCCATTAGGTCCCTTTTTGGTCACCGTCACTTAACCATCTTCACATCCTCCTGACACCTTACACACCACAGTGGGCCTCATGGTGTTGACCGAGTATATTCCAGGCCAAACTATCAGATGGAACGCTTAAGAGACTCACTGTTTTAGAAACAACACTGATACCCTTGAAAGACACTAGTATTCTTTTTAAGACTGTGCCCACCCCCACTCATGTGGTCAAGAGGAGCTACGCGAATTTTCAGTTTGTACTGTGCAAATAATAGGGATCTTTTTCACATTGCACAATCTACCTGCGCCTTATCAGATTCCCACACGGCCTGCCTAGGTTTCTGCCTCACTTTTGGCCCCTCTCCCCTTAGGCTCACCGCATCCCAGCTACGTGGCCTTTCTGCGCTTTCTAAATGTGACACGCTCTTTTGCTTCAAGTCTTTGCCTGGAATGTTCTTTCATTCACCGTTTACCTGACAAATCCTATTCATACTTCAGGTCTTACTTGTCCCTGTATGTTACCTCCTCAGAGAGGTGTTTTCTGACTTCCCCCGCCTGACTTCTATCTCGCAGACTGTTGTACTTTTTCATTACAATGCTTACTGTGCAACGCAGTTTGTAGTTATAGATTTATTTGTTTAACGTCATACTCCATCGTGAACATTTCCATGGGAACGGGGGCCATGTGTTTTGTTCACCGGCATGTGGCCAGCACACAGCCTGGCCTGGAAAAGGCCCTCACTGAACAAATGAGTGAGTGAGCCACTTTCTGTGAGTGGGGGTGGGGTTTCTTCTTGCTGAGTTCCTGCCATCGATAAAGTGTTATGGCATCATCACCGACCGAGAACCGGGGGCCAAATTCTGCACTCCTTTAGGTAGCAAAGGGCCGTTTTAGAAAGGAAAGCTCAATCCAATTCAAAACAGAGTCACGAACAAAGTGGGGTGTGGAGCCGTGTCCTGAATGATGGAGCGCAGTGTTTCAGGAGAGAGCATTTTTAAAAAGGCACAAACACAGGCATTAGAATCCTGATAATGGCAGACGTTTGCGGAACTTGCACGTGCTAGGTGTCCACACAGAGTCTTATCTGAGGTGTGCTGCTCTTTAAGAAAGGGAGCTCAGGTCATGATATTGCGGTTCGTGAGTTTGAGCCCTGCGTCCGGCTCTGTGCTGACAGCTCAGAGCCCGGAGCCTGTTTCAGATTCTGTCCGTCTGTCTCTCTCGGCTCTCTCCCTCTGCCCCTCCCACACTCGCTCTCTCTCTCTCTTTCT